GTTACCTAATAATTCGACAAAAATTGTATAATTTGGTATATTAAAACTGGTTTCAAGTATAAGAGAAATTGTCACACTATAGCTATTTCTTATTTTAATAAATGAGAAAATAAAAATTAAAACAGTCAAAAGTAATTTATTTAAAAGTTTTCTAAAAATATTCCAAAATTGTTTAACGAAAGTTGAAATTTGGCGACCATACAGGTTCATTTCAATTCTAAATATTTTTTTTTTTTTAACATTTATTTACAACTGTAATAGAATTGCGATGAGTGCAAATTATTTACACCAAGTAAAACATGACTTTCGCATCGACCCACTGGTTATTCCTTTTGAGTCTTCCTTGGAGGTTTATTTAGAAGCATGGAGGATACAAGTTAGAGTTCGAAAGTATTTACAAAGGTTGAGTGAAACTTAAGACATCTGGTTCTTGCCAGGTCATGGACGAAAGGAACGTTGAGGTCGATTGGATATGTAGATGTGGATGTATTGGTCAGGGTCAGGGGTATGGTTTACTGCACCCTTTAATAGCTATTGTATCCCCCGTTCGCTGCCTCAAGCACACCGGTGAGTCCTATTTCATCAAGGAACTTCTAATCCTCCCAAAGCACTTCCTCCTGCGGGCAGTTGCAGCACCACAGTCTGTTAGCAGGTGGGTTGGTGTCTCCTCTGCCTCTTTGCAGAATCTGCATGTGCCATCTTGGATTATTCCAATCTTCTTTAAGTGTCCATTTAGCTTGAGCGTCCTGTTAAGAAGCATAGTTTTTTCCTGCTTTTGATACATTCTGTAATTTCTTTCCTTCCGAAATTTGTTAGGAGATTCTTGGATTGTTTGTGTCCAATGAGTGAATTACATTGTTCCTTCATATTCTTTTTATCCTTCTGTCTAAGGTACTCATTGATAGTGTGGGTTCTTATGCCACAGAAGGGCTCGGGTCCTATCAGTGGTATAGCAGCTCCTTTTTTTACAAGGGTGTCCGCTTTTTCGTTGGCTTCTACTCCCATGTGTCCTAGGACCCAGCATAGGTTGACTTTGTTCTGCGTACCAATTAGTTTAATTTGGTTTTGCAGTTCAGCATCATCCTTGAACTAATGATATTTGAGCATATTGCAGCTTTGATGGCTGCTTGGCTATCTGACATGATAGTTACGTTCTTGTACCCTTTAGTCAAGTTGAATTGAGTAAATCTCTTGATTGCATGGACATCAAGCCTGGAAGATGCCGGTGTATCTTACCCCATGGTTCTGAGTATTTGGTTTCAGGACCGAATACGCCTATCCATGTACTTTGCTGTGTTCTAGATCGATCTGTGTTCCCATTATTTTTTGGTACTTAGGTTTATTTGGATGTTTTGATTAAATTCACAAATCCTGTTCATATCGTCTCTTGGAGCCATGAGTATCGGATGGTCCTTTATTCTGGTGTATCCACTCCATATATAAATTTATGTATGCATATTTATATATTGATTAATTTCTGGCTGAATCCTTTACAATAATTCAACAATCAGATTTTAGTTTGATTGCATAGGAGAGCATTTCTTTAATTGTGAAATTTGGGCTTTTATGGCTTTGTTTGGGTCAGAGGAGCAAGAAAATAGATAACGGGTTAAATTACATGTAATATTATATGTGGCCCATTATGGCATAAGTTTGGCCGGACGGTTATATATTTTGTTTATTAAATAATGGGACTTTAGAAGAACCGAATCCCCGATAAGAATTTTTTTTATAAAACGTGATATTATTATAAAATGAAGGCATTTTGTTATGTGCTTTTACAAAATTGCCTCAATTTTGATATTTAGAGCATGGTATACGTAGTGACCCAGCGCATCAATCTTTACAACAATAATGCTGTAAAATCAAATGAATCTGACCACCGATTTTGGTTATTTGAATAGTAAATCGCAATGGCAGTTTTTAGTCGAGATATTCCGTTCCACCTGGTTGCTTTGTGAGTAGTAGGGAATATTTAAATTGAAATTAATCCTCAATCAATTAAGGTTTTTAATTGAGATAAAAAGTCAATGGCACGAGCGGGATTCGAACCCACGATCTTCGGCTTGATACGCCGCTGCTCTACCACTTGAGCTATCGTGAACTCGATCTACTCGGACACCAACTTCCCGTCTCAACCCCACCTTTTGAATTTTCCCTCCTTTTTGTCATTTTTCAAATGTCGTGTAATCAATTTGATTCTCGACGAGCTTTAGTGAAGGATACTTCATTTTAAACTTATTAAATTCACTAGTTTCGTAGTCCGCTTGACCAATTAATATCATACAAACCACGAAACTAGTGAATTTAATAAGTTTAAAATGATGTTTCCTTCACTAAATTTCTCTGTGGCCATTTCATTTGTCGCCGAGAATCAAATTGATTACACGACATTTGAAAAATGGCAAAAAGGAGGGAAAATTCAAAAGGTGGGGTTGAGATGGGAAGTGGTATCCCAGTGGGTCGAGGTCACGATAGCTCAAGTGGTCGAGCAGCGACTTATCAAGCCGAAGATCGTGGGTTCGAATCCCGCTCGTGCCATTGACTTTTTTATCTCAACTAAAAACCTTAATTAATTGTATGATATTAATTGGTCAAGCGGACCACGAAACTAGTGAATTTAATCCTCAATGTGTGGTGATTAATGACCGTTTGTCGATGATTATTCAGAAATCGTGAGATGCGGCCTGGTGTGATGTAGGTTTCAGAAAAACATTTTCTTTATCGTGCCAACGTTTCGATCTTTATTGAGATCATCTTCAGGGCCTGGGATTTACAAACATTGTTTAAATTTAACAAAAACATGTAGGATGTGGAAAAAAATGAATATATAGAATGCAAATAAATATTTTTTTAAAATTATTCAATCAGCGTATTTCTACTCACTCAAAGTGTTTGTTTTCTGCGTAATTATGCCATTCTTGCGTGTCGTGTTGAGAGTGCCAGTGAGATTTTGCTGTTTTATGTTTATATACGTTGGTTTTTGAAGGGGTGGGGAGGGAAGTCTTTCTATATAGAAAGACATGCTTGTATAAGGAGTCGGCTTCTTGAGGTGAAAAGAGCCGAAGAGGGGTATAATGGTTCGGTCAGATTAACCTTTCAGGATTATATAGACGGGGATAAATAGGAATAGGAAAGCTAAATTGTTGAAAAATGGGAATGTGATGAATGTTTTATATGTTATAATATGTGTTATATGTATGTTATCTATAATGAATTTGATTAATGATATTGGCGTAGCTGCGACTGAGTTTACATGTATCTGTTCTGTAATTGATGCTGTGTTTATCTCTNCGAGCCTTTTAGCTCATCATCAGGTTGTAGAAGTCCTTCAACCTGATGATGTGCTAAAAGGCTCGAAATCCGGATCGTTGCAAAACAACCTATTGTGAGTAGGAACTATCCTTTTAAAAAGTAAGTGTTTGAAATGTTTTATAATTTTTGAAAGCTATTTTAAAGTTATCGGAAGAGAGAAATGTGTTTAATTTATGTGATAGGCCGTGAATGAATGGCATGGAAATGTATCTTGTTTGTTTTTATTTGATAGATTTGATGTAGTATTATTAGTACTAGTGGATGGAGTTAGTGTTGAGTTGTAGTTGTTGATTATTATGTTGATTATGTGTTCAGGGTAGTGATTGTTATGGAGGATCTGTTTGTATATCTTAATGTTCTTATGGTGAAATGATTCATGGCTTAGGGTAATAATTCTGTGAAGTAACTTTGGCTGTGTTAATTATTGTATGAAGAGGATGGTAAGTATTGTTTTGTTGTTTTCGATTTCATGTGTAAATTGTAGGCGTGGGTGAAAGCTATTAAATGTATCTAATGTAGTTTGAATTCGTTCTGTGGGAACTGCTGTCAATATATCATCTACGCATTTAGTGAGGAAAGGTAATGTGAAAGGAAGTTGTAGTATAACTGTGTTTAATAGAAATGTGTGGTGATTAGTGACCGTTAATGTTTATTTAGAAATCGTGAGATGCGGTCTGGTGTGATGTAGGTTTCAGAAAAACATTTTCTTCATCGTGCCAACGTTTCGATCTTTATTGAGATCATCTTCATGGCCTGGGATTTACAAACATTGTTTATATCTATCAATTACATGTTGGATGTGAAAAAGTGAATTTAGACAATGCAAAATATATTTTTTATATAATCAATCAATAAAGATCCAGGCCCTGAAGATGATTTCAATAAAGATCGAAACGTTGGCACGATAAAGCAAATGTTTTTGTGAAACCTACATCACACAAGACCGCATCTCACGATTTCTAAATAAATATATGCTTAATAGATACTTGCAGACATAATTATAACACATCTATTAAACACAGTCATACCGTAACTTCTGACAATGAATAGCGACGATCTATCAAAACTATATAACTCACTTTGATGTACGTAACATTATGTATATAAATTACAGAACAATTTTTACATTAAATATGATAAAATTGACCTTTGATTAATTTAATTTATAACCAAATTGAACAACGATCTATTGAAAGAGAATTTACAGCAGACGTAAGTAGATAGTAAGTAGTAGATAGTAAGAAGTAGAAGAAGCAGATAGTAGGTAGTTGTGACCACAAGAGTTTGATGATTTTGAACCAATTTCTGCTTGGAAAAGCGAAAAATGAAGATCAAAGAAGAAAAATTGAAAAAGAAGAAGCCCACTCTTGCAACAATGGGCTCAGTATGAAAATCGTTTTCCATCTTACAGCAGATGGAGAAAGTATTGTTTTAGATTTACGGTTTGTTATTATGAAAATTGAGCGGCACTGGCTAATAAAGAGAATGAATTTTGTATGAACAGTCATGTTTGGATTATTTTTAAAAAAAGTCTATCATTTGGGATTACTAAGGATGAGTCCTCACGATATGTTACAAAGGACAATTACGTTTATCCATGAGGTCAGGGCAAATATTCTGCCCGAATTTATCACCACAAATCCACATTTAAATCCGCACGCGAGTCCAGATAACGCCGGACATCGTGACGGGTGGGAGGCGTGATAATAGTGGCTGAAGATCTTTCAATAAGTATTCAGTAGCTATTTAGAACTGGGCTCGAAGTGGGGTACGCTCTTGCTAGCTGTCACAATGAGGACGGCCGATCTCCGGCAACCTGTGCCTGTCATCGTGCGCTGCTGAATACGAGATCATCGTCCCTGGAGAAGCGCGATAAAAAGGTAATTTTTCTATATTAAATTTAATTGCGAAATGTTTATTATCGTCCAATTCTAAAGTGTTTTTTTTTAATCAACGGCCAGAAGACCATTTTTGCATTACTGAATACTTCGATTTTATAAATTTCGCATCGTTGGTTCAGCCCAATGTCTTAAAAGTAAAAAAAAAATCTTCAGTTACATATTTTGAGTTTTTCTCAAAGTTTAGATATTTTAATAACAGAATTTTAAGTTTATTAATGCATTTTTAGTAAAAAAAATAAGTAAGCTGCTATACAATTTGTCATGTCTTTTTATTAAAATCATTATATAGCATGTATTATTTTAAAATATAATCTTTAAAACAGATATATGTTTCGGCATGTGTAAAAAACATTTTTACTCCTTATTTATTCTTCTCTTCTTTTTTCTTGGTTGTTTGCTTGTTTTAAGATCTTTTTAGAATCTATGTTCGATATCGATATAATAAAAGGATTTTTACTTCTGTTTCTTAAGCAATTTGCATATCCCATGCATATTAATAAGTCTGTTTTAATGTTTACAAACGTATTGCAGCTTTCAATTAACATTTCATGCGTTGTGTTATGCTAGTTTTTAAAATAATCTTTCAAAAAGCATAATAACCGTTATGATATTGTACAATTATTAGAGTTCAAATAATTTCTGCAGCTATGCTAAACAATTTTAACTGTTTTCCTTGAGGAAATTGCCTGGTCAATATATTTTTTTTTTTTGAAGCACAAAAAATGTATTGGTATTAGTTTTGGATTTAGTGCTTCGATACTTAAAACTGACATATAATACTGTATGGAATGGTAACACGTCTTTTTTCTTTTGTCTTTTTTTCTCCTTAAACAACTTCTTATTCAACGCATATCTCCTGTTTTACGTAAAAATACACATTTTTAACTACAACTTGCACATGAAAAATTTTTAACTTCTGTTTCTTATGTAATTTGCCTATTGCAAGTAATTTCTTTTTTTGAAGCCAAAAAATGTATTGGGACTAGTTTTGGATTTTTTTTTCAGTACTATGTTGCTTAAAACTGACATATAATACTGTATGGAATGGTAACAAATGTCTTTTTTCTTTTGTCTTTTTTCTCCTTGAACAACTTCTCATTCAACGTGTATCTCCTGTTTTACGTAAAAATACACGTTTTTAACTACAACTTACACATAAAAACTTTTTACCTTCTGTTTCTTGCAACTTGCCTATTCTAAGTAATTTCTTTTTTTGAAGCACAAAAAATGTATTGGTATTAGTTTTGGATTTTTTTTTAGTGGATTTTTTTTGCTTAAAACTGGCATATGGAATGGTAAAAATTTTTGTCTTTTTTCTCCTTAAACAACTTCTTATTCAACGTATATCTTCTGTATTAACGTCAAAATACACACTGCAGCTAGTTTTTAAACCAATCTTTCAAAAAAAGCATAATAACCGTTATGCTATTGTATAATTATTAGAACATACACACATTTCTGCTGCTATTCTAACAAATTTTGTATTTTTTCTCCTTAATCTATTTCTTACACAACGTATATTTTGCTTTTAACGTTTTAATACGGTACAGTATGGTTAAATTTTAAGTCTTTTTTAACGCATTCTTAAACAACTCATATATTTCCTGTTTTAACGTCTAATTTAAAATACACATTGTAGATAGTTGTACCTAGTTTTTACATCGAGCTTTCAAGAAAACATAATAACCGTTTTGCTATTGAAAAATTATTAGAACTCATTTCTGCAACTATTCTAACAAATTTTGGCTTTTTTTTCTCCATAAGCGACTTCTTATTCAACGTTTATTTTTGTTAATTAAGGTTTTTAGTTGAGATGAAAAAAAGTTAATGGCACGAGAGGGATTCGAACCCACGACCTTCGGCTAGATACGCCGCTGCTCTACCACCTAGATGTATGTGGGGTTGAGATGGGGAGTTGATGTTCAAGTGGATCGAGGTCACGCTCAGGTGGTAGAGCAGCGGCGTATCTAGCCGAAGGTCGTGGGTTCGAATCCCTCACGTGCCATTAACTTTTTTTCATCTCAACTAAAAACCTTAATTAATTGTAATGATTTAATTGGTCAAGCGGACCACGAAATTAGTGAGTTTATTTTTGTTTTAACGTCTACATACATATTGCAGCTTGCCTTTCGTGCAAACTTGATATGTGTTATGTTTTTCTATAATTATTAAAACAGTTACTGAAGCTATGATAACAACTTAGGTTTCTTTAAGCAACTTGTCTATTCAACGTGTATTTCCTGTTTTAACAATTAAAAATGTATTGCAACTGGTTTTTCAATCAACATTTCATGAAAACCTTGTTGTATGAGTTATGTTGCCGTATAATTATTTAAACTGAAGTACATTTCTACAGTTATGAGAAATTTTGTCTTTGTTTCCTTAAGGAACTTGCATGTTTAACGAATATTACCAACTATAGCTTGGTACATACGAACTACAGCTGGTTTTTTCATCAATCTTTCATAAAAGTCTAATTTGTTTTATGTTACTGTATTATTATTAAGTGGAAAAATATTTATTCGGCTAGGCTAACAAATTTTAACTTCGGTTTACTTAACGAACTTTCTTATTCAACGCGTATTTCTTGTTTTAATTATTAAACAATATATTGGGACTCGTTTTGCATTTTAACTTCGGTTTCCTTAAACAACTTAAAAGTTGTTTAAGTGTATGTGTTATACATTTCCAGTTTTAACGACTACATACCTACTGTAGCTCCATACCTACTGGCTTTTAAATCAATCTTTCATAAAAGCTTAGTAAGTGTTATGTTTTCTTATAATTTTATTAAAACAAAAGCATTCCTGAAGCTGCGATAACAAATTTTAATTTTGCAGCCATTTTAAGCAACTTGCCTAGTCAACGTACATTTCCTGTTTATAATTTGTAAAGGTATGACAGTTTTATAATTAAGGTTTCATAAAAGCATTTTATGTTTGTGTTATGTTATCGTATAATTATTTAAACTGAAATATATTTCTACGGCTATCACAAATTTTGACTTTGGTTTCGTATATTTATTTATCATTTTAACTACCATATATGCTTTACAAGTAGTTTTTAACATTTCATAACTGCGTTGTTTAATTGTTAAAACAGACATTTCTGCAGCATGCCTATCGTTACTTCAAATTTTGAATCCGTTTCCTTTAGCGACTTGCTTATTCAATATGTATTTTTTAAAAATTATAAATGCACTGTGTATTATATCATATTTTGTTTCTCCATAATTATTTGTTCTGTAATTTATTGTTGACTTTTATTTTCCATTTTTAAAAGACATTTTTTTACGACGGTTCGCAACAGCAGAGGTCATATCAACCCTCAGGGTGCTGATGTTTTTGAAAAAAAAAAAAAGCCCATTTGTATGTTATCGTTGTTTATGCCGGGTTCGAACGCCGAGCCGCTGGATTCGAACCCGTGATCTTTACCTTACAGTGATGAGCGCCGTCGTTGCGGCCACCGACGCCCCCTCAATATCTATTCGTCTACATTGTGTGTGAATATCACATATATGTTATCGCATAAAAATTAAAACGGACATACATTTCTTCTAACACATTATTTCATTCCGTGCTTCTTTAAACAACGGGCAAATTGCACCGCATTTTACGCATACGTACAGCAGCTTGTTTTGAGTTTGACTTACGTATCATATAAATATTAAAACTGGCATATAGTTACGTGTGGTAACAAATTTTGATTTCGCGTTTCCCTAAGCAACGTAGTTTTGAGATGGGAATTGCAAAGAAAAATTCAAATTTCAAGCTGCCGTCTCACAAGGGAGCATTCTTAGACCTTTCCTTTACGAGATGAGGTAAATCCAGCTGACATTCCTATACTTCCAGAAACAATTCTCTCCACTTTTGATGACGAAACAGAAATCTTTTCCCCGCATAAAGACATCTTCCAAACGGTTTGCAGTGTCTGGACGTTTGGTCTAAAAAGTAGAGAATTAAAATAAATGCAACGAAGAGGCGATACATTAACTTCACACTCGGACCTATTACACTCCAGCTGCTTTCTTTAACGGGGTTTCACTACCCGGTGTCGAACACGTACTTGGGTCTTCAACTTGACAAATGACTTATTTGGAATCCGCACACAAGAGAAAACGAACTAAACAAACGTCACAAACTGTTATCACTGGACAATCCACACTTCCATCCAAAGATTAATGATGAACACCATGGTTCTCAAACCTATGTGGACTTTTGGTATCGAAATCTGCGGGTCAATCGAGCAATATTTATTGCATCTTGTCTTGACTTTCATCCGTAAACGCAACAAAGTTCATTCGCGCAAATGTATTGTAAAATTAAAACAAACAGTAGAGATATTGATCTGAACTTTTTCTTAAGAGATTCGTCTGGGGTAGTACCTAATTTGAACGGATATTCGTTGATTTAAATAATTTATATATCCCATTAACTGCACCTGTAAACATTTTAAGCTAGAACAAGCTGCGAGACAAGCAAAATGCTATTTTATGGTATGGTATGGTGATAAGGATACTAAGAAGCAGGATTTGTACTCCCCAGGCACTGTAGCCTTCTCGCTTATTGTACCTTCCTAGTTCCTTAGTTCAGTGCAATAGACTCTATCCTTCTCCAGAAGTATCATGTCATTGACTGTCGCTGCTACAATTTCATTCCCTAAGTTTTTTTCGAATGCTAGGTTGAATCTCCATTGAACTGTTGCTTCACAGTCGAAGATGATATGAGTGGCTGAATCCTCCTCCTCATTACATAATCTGCAGATGGGATCTTCATTGTATATGCCCATGTTATGTAGATGTTTGATCAGATGGTAGTAGTCCTATCACTCCTCTGAGTTTAGCCCTCTCCAGTTGCAGCAGTGATGTTGCCAGTCTTGGTGAGGGTTGTTTCATCATAAATTTACTATGTCTAGCACTGCTAGAGTTTATCCACTTCTCCTTTTGTTTTGTTTGGATCCATTCTTCCATGGAGGAAGCA